ATTAGCTTCTTTGGTACAGAAGACAGGGTCCCTCTTTTCTTTTAAAGAAAAGTGAGTGCACCTCTCGTCCTCCACTTAGCCTGGACTAATTTCACCTGCTGACATTCACTGACATTCACTGCCTGCTACTTGGACTGAAAGCCAAGGAGGACTGGTGCTTCCATTCTACCCATTAATTGACATTTCCATTGCATTTCTGGTTTTGGGATATTCCTGTGTTGTTTTTTGTTTCAGCCAAATTCTTTTAAGAATTTTTTTTTTAATCACTCATTGACTTTGCTTGGAACAAAATGGTGACTCAAAGTGAAAACTTATTACCCCAATTTGACCAGAGTCTCCAACCCACCTTGAATTTGAATTCAAGATACTTTTGATTTTTAGTTTTTAGTGTCTCTGTAGCATTTTAAAATAGCTTCCTTTATAGAAAGTGGAAGGTGAAATGTATCAACAAGACATAGGCGCCAGAAGTGAAAAACAAAACAGAAACAAGAGTTTGGGTAGAATACTGGTGAAGCCTGTGGTAGCAGGCACAGTGGAGTAAGAAACTGGATCATAAGCTGAGTCTGTGCAAGATAACAAAATTAGAAGTTAAAACTAGGTAAGCTACGTCAAAAGCCCAAATTACAACAAATTTAGTTTGAAATCTTAATTGGCTTATATCTGCGGTTCTAAAATTGGGCAACACCTCATTCTGGGAAACAGAATTATTGTTTCCATGAACTGAGCAGAGGAGGCTTGCTTTAGAGACACAGAAGGGCTGAGAAAAACAGAAACATGAAACCAAAACGAGTTGGTTATTTCGATTTACTTTCCTTATACAAGTTAAAGCAGAGGGAACTTCTTATGCTGACTAAAACTGACTTTGGGGGGGATTTGATTACTGTTTCTCTTTCTCCTGATTTCTTAGACAAGTTAGATAAATAATTTTGTTTCGTCTTAGTGGTGAGGAACTTTCACATGAGTGACTCCATTTTGGTTTGGTTTGTTGGGCCTGGTACAGGAGCTCAGTCCAAACCAAATGGCCTCCTACAAATTGCACTTAACAGACATCGAAAGTCAATAACAGAGAGCACTGAGGGGTTCTTTGCTCTGACATAAATTTATCTGAGGCCCTATTAAGCATCCAGGATCTACTTAGCAGTACTTCGCCAAGAGAAATACTTCAAGAGTCAAGGTGTGTTCAGTCAAAAATAACTCAAGAGACTATATAAATGGATTTGGGATTTTGGTCTCTTCCAGGATAATTCGTCCTCTCAAATTTCCTTATATTCTGATATTTTTCAGAACTCTAAACTGTTCCCTGATAGTAGGATCCTGTGTCTAAGGGTCTCTGAGGAGGGTTTTAAATGTATCTCTTTTCAAGTTCTTGGGATCCTTCATTGGGATCTCATCTGTGATTCTATATCCTCATGGAACAAAAACTTGTGTGTTAGGTCTTAAGATTTTTTTTCCATATAATACTTGCTGTTTCATCATGTATATTCCCACTGTGCAATTCAATAGTGGCTATGTTCAGAATGGGGATACCATAATCAAAAAAACAGTCCCTTATGGAATCCAGCTATCAAGTTTCAAAGCACCAGGAAATAAGAAATAACTCTTCTGAGCTAATTACAGTTAGGTCATATATTTTTTGTAACTAGTTAGTGCTTTCAATTGCAAATTACTAAAAGATTATGATCAAGATTAAGAGTTTGTGATGGCTTTTAGTTGAACTTTCAAAGAGTCCTCTTAAATGTCATGTTCCTAAGAATCTGGAAAAACTATGTTTAGATAAGATTTATCTCAATTGAAATCAGAAATATTTAATAAGATACTAACCTGTACCATTCCCATTTCCTCAGACTGCTTTTGAAATGCCATGAATTATAAAATAAAGCATCTGTAATGGCCAGCGCTGATTTTGCATTCATCTAACTTCTAGCCTCAGGATGATCAAGCAAAAGCAGCCCATAGCTGAGGGACACTGCGTATGTCATGCCTGAGTCACCCCAGAGGACAATGAAATGATGCCTAGCAATGCTTTGCCAGACACACACCRAAAGAGAGTCAGAATAGCAATGTTAAGTAGCATTGCTTCCATTGTATTTTAGAAGGAACAAATGGAAATARGATGTGTAGAGTCCTCCCACAGACAAGATAGGAGCAGAGTAAGGATGTAAGAACCTCACTTGGCCAATCACTGTCTGGATTAACATATACACCAATAGCATATTTTTTAAATCTTGCAAATATGTAGAATTCATTTAATAATTATTGTTAAACTTCATATTAATTTTCTGTTACACTAAAAAACATTTATTTTCTACTAATATTAGTAACTAAATAGGTTACCCTTCTATAAACAATTATGTATTTGTCTCTAAAATAAATATACACTAACTTAAAGCATCTTATTCTGCCAATTGTGACTAATAATAAGTTCTAATAAATTTGAAATCCATATCAAATGTACGGTTTCTTTTTTCAAGAAAGAAAAAATGTCATATTGATTCAAAAAGAGGAAGAATCTATGAAAGAACAGAAATCAAAGTTGAAGATAGAGTCAACAGGTCACTCCTAAAAGATTCTAATAATTTTATAGGCACATTCTACAAAATGTTCAGGGAAACAATAATTCCTTTATGAGGATGATAGGTAGGTAGGTAGGTAGGTAAGTAGGAGGGTATGTAGATAGAATTTTGAAAATCCATATAAAATACCACCAAATCAATTTAAGTAGCATAATAGGAAAACAGTTATCATTTAGACCTAAGAAGAGATTGCTTATGAAAATAAGGTTGACTCAACATTAAGAAATGCATTAATGTAACTTAGTTCATAATAACTACTCAAAGGAGGAAATTCATATGCTCATCTTAGTAGATTTTTAAAAATCTAAGAGATTCAACATTTTTTAAACTTTAAGGAAATTTTAAAATATACATAAATGTAGAGACAGTTATAACAGATCCTATGCGTGAATCCCACAATATACAACAACTTCAACAATGATCAATATTTGCTTTTTTAAAAAAATTGTTTTTTAATGTCATGCTGGGATTGAACCCAGGACCTCAAGCATGTTAGGAAAGTGCTCTACCACTGAACTACAYCCCTAACTCTTTTTATTTTTAAATTTTACTTTGAGACAGAGCCTCACTAACTTGCCTAGGCTGGCCTTAAACTTACTGTCCTCCTGCCTCAGACCTCTGAAACCCTGGGATTACTGGCATGCACCACCACGCCCAACTCTCAACAGGCATTAGAGGAGGTTAGAACTCTTTCTGCCTTTTTAAAAAATATTTGTTCTAATTAGTTACACATGACACTACAATGACCTTGACATATCATACAASTCAGATCCAAGTGGAGCCCATATAACATGATGGGGAGTTTGGCAAATGTTTCTGCCTCTGTCTTTTGCCCAAGGTGCTGCTGGTACCAGCTCAGGAACCCTGAACTGCTCAGCCTAGGCTCGGGTGCTGTGGACAGTGTCTGGGTGTTAGGAGCATTGTTTTCACTGTGGATGARGGGACATAAAAACTTTTTGATGGATCTCTCTTGCTGTCCTGAAACTCYCATGAGAAACTCAGATATCATTCCTCATTAATAAATCTGTACAGTCTACGTAGTTCTAATCAAAATGCCAATATGATTATTTTTGTACTGTCACAAGCTGATTTCAAAATTCACCTGGGAAAATACCAAACAATTAACAACAATAAAAACAGATCAAGAACAGCTCTCTGACTCCAAAAAAATCCACCACAACAAACGTTTAAGTGAAGAGAACTTTTTTTTATCCTACCCAGAATAAAAGTTTAAAAACTCCATATAGAACATGTCAGGCATAGTGATTTATGCCTTTAGTCCAGCTATTTGGGAGGCCAAGGCAGAAGGATCACTTGAGTACAGTAGTTCAGGGCCAGCCTGGGTAACACAGCAAGACCCTGTGTCTTAAAATAAAAATAAAGGAAGATTAAAATAACTAAAAGTCTAATAGCATATAGGATTAAGTCATAGTCAATAGAAATAGACAAATCTAATGCTKGAATAGAATAATATATCTAAAATTTAATTCTGAAGTCTTATTTAAAGTTCTTTAATGTATCTTTGATATTAGCTTGCAATTAGCTCCATCAAGAATTCAATGGTAATATCAAAAGCAAAAATGAGTTTAGCAGCTTCTTTTCTTAGGTTGATTGGGTGCCTTGATCCTTCACACTTGCTTGTAGTCCTCAACAAAACACAGAAGCTGAAGGCATAGATCTTTTGTGTCTGGTGGCTTGGCCTCCATGGAAGTGGGAAAGAGGAACCAACCATTCCTAAGATAATGGAGTGGGTCTGGGCAGGCTGTCTGGCCCTGCATTTCACTTCCTGGGAATAATTGAGCAGTTACTATGTACCAGGCAGTGTTCTAAGCATTTTTCATGTAAGAACTTGGATTGGGTACCTTCTTCAAGGCCATGCAACTAGTAAAGATGTGAATATCACGGTTTTGTTCTCAGACCTACAGCCTCCCAGTACCAACTCCTCTTCTGACGTTTGCTCAAACTGCTGTCCTGGCACGAATGATCTTTTTGGTGTGGCTTGCTCCTTTCTCTGTGCTCAACCTCATGGGCCACTGTAATTAAGCTGCCACCTGTAACTGCTTGCCCTTTGATTCAGTCCTGAGGGAACCTAGAGCTGGAAAACGCCCTATTGGAGCAACTTATTAGTGTCTGCTGCATATTTATCTGTCTCCTTTACTAAACTGTGAGTGCCTAAGGGCAAGACTCTCTGTTCACCATTTTATTCCTGGAATTTACCATGTTTGGCAGATGCTRGCCATTAAATAAGTGTTGGATAAATTAATGGATATTAAGAATCTAAGCACCAGGATTTACCAGAATTAGAAAAAGAAAATGACCTGGATATAGTCATGTGGCATCTTCACAGTGAGACAAACAACTGAATCCCTGGGCTGTCTTCATAACTCCACACCCCTTCCTACTCTCTTTTTCCTTGCCCTATTGCAGGTTATGGGATCTGAAAGAATGGAGATGCGGAAGCGGCAGATGACAGCTGCCCAGGAGCCACCAGGCTCAGTCCCCGGCCAGCATGGAGCAGGGAATCGGGGCTCCAATGCTTGCTGCTTCTGCTGGTGCTGCTGTTGTAGCTGTTCATGGTAAGTTTGGGGGCTTTTAAATTTTCAAAATTAATGTGCTGTTGATTGGGAATTGTTACCCTTGAATAGAGCCAGCTTAATTCAACTTAACTAATTCAGTGTTTTTTAAGCAATTAATACATGCCTGTTAAAGACATACAGTTTTTTTAAAAAAAAATAATAGCTATGTCTGTTTAGTTCTCAAGAAACCTATATTCAAATACTTGAAATCAGGCTAGCTAGCATTGGTTAGACAACAAAAGAACAATGGAATGCAGTTCTGATCATACCTTAACATATGGACAGAAACGTCACTTAGGTGATTAGAAAGACTCACCTTTGGCATAAAGACTTTGTTCAGGATTTAGTATTTAAGATTACCTTAAAGGTTAGGATTATGAAACCTGGATTTTTATCTTCTGCTAGTTTCCTTTTATTATTATTTTTCCTTAAGGTCCTGGGGATTGAACACAGAACCTCAAGCATGCTAGGCAATTTTGTTTTTTTAATAAAGAAAATTGTCAAAATATGTGCTTAAAATGGCAAGAAAGACGAGTGCCATGGCACACACCTATAATCCTAGCACTCTGGAGGCTGAGACAGGAGGATCACAAATTCAAGGCCAGCCTCAGCAACTTAGCAAAGCTCTAAGCCACTTAGTGAGACCCTGTCTCAAAAAACAAAAAGGGAAGGCCGGGGTTGTGGCTCAATGGTAGAGTGCTTGCCTAGCATGCATGAAGCACTGGGTTCGATCCCTGGCACCACATAAAAATAATAATAATAATAAATAACAAATAAAATAAAGGTATTGTGTCCATCTACAACTAAAAAAAAATATTTTTTAAAAAAGGCTAGAGATGTAACTCAGTGGTAAAGTGCCCCTAGATTAAATCCCCAATACCCACCCCCCCAAAAAAAATGGAGAAAGAAATCTGAAAATACAGACTACCTTACTGGGTAGAGGAAGATACAGTTATTGCTTTAAAAATAAAATAGGGGCTGGGGTTGTGGCTTAGTGGTACAGCGCTTGCTTAGCACGTGTGAGGCACTGGGTTCAATCCTCAGCACTACATCTTAAAAAATTAGTTAATTAAATAAATAAAGGTATTGTGTCCACCTACAACAAAAAAAAATTTTAAATGTTTAAAAATAAAGAGAGCGATAAATGAATTACATGTAAAACACTGTGACTGTTTGAATCACAAGGTCTGGAGAAATGGATGTACTTTGCATCTAGGAATCATATTCATGTTAGGTTGCATCTTTGAAATTTTGAATATGACAAGTGCTAGCACCAGCTAAACTTGTACATCACTTTCAGCAATTAAATAATTGTAACTTTATGTAGGCTTTGCTATAAGATAGATCCAGACCTCACTATCCAGTGGAGAAGAAGAAAAACTGATATTGGGACTGATTAAGAAGAGTGATATAGGCAGGCACAGTGGCAYACACTGTAATCCCAGCTACTCAGGAAGCTGAGGTAGGAAGATTGCAAGTTTAGGATCAGCCTTTTGGCGACCTAGTCTCAAAATAAAATTTTATAAGGGTTGGAGATGTTCTTGCCTAGCATGGGTTCAACCCCAGCATTATAAAACAAGGAGAAAAAAAAAGAATGGTGATACAGAACTATTAGAACTGGATCCTGGGGAGGAAGTTGGAGGTAGGCTGTGAAACATCCAGGAAAGTTTAGTGGGCTCATCCTGCTTGACTTGGGCCAGTGTGGACTTGTAAGAAGTTCCAGTCTGGTGGATGGAGCCTAGCAATAGAACATGGCCAAGACCCATGAGATCACGAGGCAGTCAGGACAGATACCAGACGGCAGGTGGGCATGTGGGGAGATGGGGTGGACAACAGCTAAGCAGTGTGCTGCTCAGGTGAGACTTCAGATGCCTACACAGAAATCTAAACAACTTGGAAGTAAGCTGGAGAAGAGACACAGRGAAAACTTGTCCAGGGCCTTCCCTACACAGGGAAGATACCCATCTATGTGAGAGCCTACATTCAGGGCCCTTCTCCACTTTTCATTCTGCCAATAGATCTCAGTGTGAACAGAGATGATCATCTGAGAGGTATACAAGGATAAAAAGGGTGTTCAGTGAGACTCTAGCTAATGTTTAAGCTGTCCTTCCTTCCCTTGGACAGGGCAAGGAGGCTGAGATCATGGCCTTGGTAACATATCATCCTGATAATGTAAGGGTAGCAGGTGGGAATGGATCCCAGAGTAGGGTACTATTAGAAGACTAGTACCAAATAGAGTGAATAAAATTACAATCTATTCCTGGATGACATCAACATCATCCATCATCATCAGCATCATCACCAGCATTTATGTAACACTTATCATGTATGTATATAAAATGCAACAGAGCTGCATCTTCAAAGTACTGGAGAAAAGTAACTAAAAACTCTCAAAACCCAAACTATGGGACTGGGATTGTGGCTCAGYGGGAGAGCGCTTGCCTAGCATGTGCGGGGCCCTGTGTTCAATCCTCAGCAGCACATAAAAGTAAATGAATGGAATATGTCCAACTGTAACTAAAAAATAAAATATTAAAAAAAGCCAAACTGTTATTCAGGAATGTGGATAAAATAAGACATTTTCAGACATACAAAGGCCAAGAGAATTTATACCCACAGGCCCTCCCTAAAAAATAGTAAGAAATGTTCTTAGAACTTCAGGGGGAGGAAAGTGAACCCARAGGGAAGCCATGGAAGACAAGTGACAAGAGTAGACACAAAAGGAATCAAATGGAATATGTGTCATTTAATTTGGGCTTCAAAAGTATAAAACCCAGTGGTAAACAAATAATCTCATGTCAACAATTGACAAATCAAATTATTTCAGACTTAAAAAATTATAAGAAAAAATTTATAAATAGTGCAAAAATACAACATGTAGTTCCCACATCAATGGAAGACAATAAAAGAAATCTAGAAAACCTTTTCAACATATGACAGAGGTGGCATCAGTGAAGGAGAATATGTCTGAATTCATAGTATTTGGGTAACCAACTCATCACAGTTCCCTGGGACTTTCTCATTTTAGCATTGAAAAGTCCCATGAAAGCCTGAGTCCCCAGCAAACCAGGAAGGTTGATCACCTGCCTGGTATCTAAGTCTATTAAAACAGACATAGTCCATAATTGAACCACATTAAAAATTCAATCCCCATCTTCCAAAAAAAAAAAAAAAACGAAATCAATTCCAGATGACTTAAAGGTCAAGTATAAAATATAGGATTATATCTGTGTTGGGAAGAGTTACTTTGAAAAATAAAAAATTCTCTAAAAGATTCATAAATTTTGCCACACTAAAATATAAAAATGTGGCTGTGTGTGGTGGCGCACATCTGTATTCCAGCAGTTCAGGAGGCTGAGGCAGGAGCATCTCAATTTGAGACCAGCCTCAGCAATTTAGTGAGAYCTTAAGTAACTTAGCGAGACCCTGTCTCCAAAAGTAAAAAGAGCTGAGGAATCTGCCTCAGTGGTAGAATGTCCCTGAATTAAACCCAGGACTCGAAACAAACATCAAACAAACAAAAAAAACAAATTTAGGTTGATGGTTATCTCTAGGGCAGAAAGAGAGGGGAACAGGATAAGGGCAAAAACATACAGCAAACTTCAACTATTTTGAGAAGAAATTTTTCTTTCACAATGAATGGCATTCATAATTAGCCCCCAAATATAATATATAGTTGTCACATCAGTGGAAGATGATCCTTGATTCTTTTCTCAACATTCTTTTGAGATGTATTTGGGTTGAAATACATAGTAGAGTTAACTTTCAAGGAAAGTAAATGGCAATATGTTTTCTAAGCCCTTGTGATGTGGCTCTCAGAATTTCCTCCTATGGCCTCTTGGTATTTGTTATAAAGGAAACACGCAGATTATTCTTCTCTTGAAAATAAACTTTAAAAATTCTAGAAGGTTGACGGATTTTTCCTCCTTTATAATTCAAAATGTATCTAACCATGGATCATCTTTACTAACCATTTCTAAAACATGGTGAACAACCACCTTGGCTTCTGTCCACACCTTGTTCTGCTTAATGATCCCAGTGAAGCCCAGTAAACAAAACTTGACTAAAAAATATATGCTTCACTTTTTCTAGAACAGCTTGTCTCCTTAAAAATTCAACTTTGTAAAATGAGGTGGAAGAAATGTCAAAGCTTAAATAAATTTTGCATTATTTAGTTCAGAGTTTAGCTTCCAGTTCTCTTAGGAATTTTGTGTCATATTCATAATTCCCTTTTCTCTTTGCTTTTTCATACCCACTGTGCAGTAATGTGCTCTGCTTACAAAAGAAGCCTAGGCGGTCAGGCAGTATTCATGCCCATGCAGAGAGGATACCACCCAATGCCTCTCAGTCTTCTTTGTTTTGTTTTGTTTCATTTTAAATAAACCATTATTTATTGAAACTTTTTAGCCCTGGCATCATAAAAGAAACAAGCCAAAAGGGTTCCTGCATGTTTAATGACTTTGCCTTTAAAGAAAAATAGAGCTGTACACAGACACATACACTATTGAAAATTCATAAAGTGCATGTGCTGAAAGGCTGACATACTTACAAAGTGGAGTAAGGAGTATTAAGAAAAGACATAATAAAAGGAAGAGAAACATTAATGCAGTAGCAATAACAAGATAAAACTCAAATCATCAATGATAAAAAGCCATTTTGAGGGCTAGCAGTATAACTCTATGATTAAAGCACAGGTTTAACATGCACAAGGCCCTGGGTTCATTCCCTAGCAACCCCCGAAAAAAAAATCCATTTTTTTTTTTCGGGTTAAAGTCAAGATCAGGGCATGTGTGTCCACAATCTCGACCACTCTTAGACATTGTTTTAGGTATTAGCCAATGCAATTTAACAAGAAGAAACAATTAAAGGCCTTAAAAAAATGGGAAGAGGTAGCCAGGTACAGTGGCTCACACCTGTAATCCCAGCAGTTTGGGAGGCTAAGACAGAAAGATAACAAGTTTAAGGCTAGCCTCAGCAACTTAGACCCTGTCTCGAAATAAAAAGGGTTTGGCATGTAGCTCAGTAGTTACATGCCCCTGGGTTCAATTTCCAGTCCAAAACAAACAAACAAAAAGTTGGAAGAGGTAGAATATCTCCCTCTCTCCAGACAATGAGATGAGAGTCTACCTGAAAACTCCAAGAGAATTATGTATAAAACTGATACAAACAGAAGAATTCAGTAAAGAAAACTAGAATGTGCAAGGCCCTGGTTGGATCCTCAACATCCAAAAACAAATCAATTAATAAAATAAAAATGATCTGGTTGTGGTAGCACACACCTGTAATCCTAGTGACTTAGAAGGCTGAGGCAGGAGGATGGCAAGTTCTATGCCAGTCTCAGCAACTTAGTGAAGCCCTATCTCAAAATAAAAAGTCCTAAGGATGCTGCTCAGTGGTAAGGTGTCCTTTGGTTCAATTCCTAGTACTAAATAAATATAAAAATGGCCAAAGAAAATAAATAGATCCAAAGACGATGTACAATAGCTAGTAATTGCATGAAAAAGTCCTCAATATCACTGGTCAGTTGGAAAGTACAAATCAAAGTGATAGTGACATATCCTTTCACACCCATGTTAGGTGCAAATAAAGGAAACTAGAATGAAAAAGAAAACAGTCACTTTTGGCAAGGATATGGAGAAATTAGATTCTTCAAGATTGCTCAGGGGAGTATAWACTGCACAGCTGCTTTAGAAAGCAGTTTGGGAATTCCTCAAAATGTTAAAAATAGAGTTATCATATGCATCAGCAATTCCACTCAAGAAAAAATGAAAATCTACCCAAGATAAATGAAAGTGTATGGTCATACAAACTTGCACGCGAATGTGCAACCCAAAAGTAGAAATAAGGTGAATGTCCATCCACCRTTGAATGGATAATAAATATTACATATTCATATGATGTAATATTATTCAGTCAGAAAAAGGAATGAAGTACTGATGTAAGCTATGCACAACATGGATAAACCATGAAAACATTATGCCAAGTGAAAGATGCCAGCCACAGAAGATCACATATTGCATGATTCAGAATAAGCAAAAAGGGATAGATAGGAAGCAGTAACTTATTAGTGTGTTTCTAGAGCTGCTGGAGAAGGGAGATACAGGTAATAAGGAGAGACTGCTAACAGCTGTGGGATTTCTTTTGGGGGGCATGAAAATGTTCTGGATAGTAATGATGATTGTGCAACCTTGTAGGTATATTACTAAAAAGCTATGAATTGTACACTTTTTCTTTGGTACCAGGGATTGAACCCAGGAGTGTTTAAAAAGTGAGCCACATCCCCAACGCTTTTTTATATTTTATTTAGAGAAAGGGTCTCAATTAGTTGCTTTTAGGACCTTGCTAAATTACTGAGGCTGCCTTTGAACTCACAATCCTCCTGCCTCAGTCTCCCAAGCCATTGGGATTATAGGCAGGTACCACCTCACCCAGCTGAATTGTACACTTTTAAGCATATCAATTTTATGGCATATAAATGACAACATATACTAATAGTCCTCATGTGTACAAACAATAACTAGAAGGTAAGACAGAAGTAAAATTCCACTTATAATAATAACAAAATTATTTGGAATAAATTTAGAGAGATATGTACAAATTGTGTATAAGGAAACAAGCTCTCAAGCCTGATACAAAATAAATTTTGATTGGTTTTCTCTCATATTTGTACATGTGCCCTACAAATAAATAAACCCTTCATTTTGACTAGAAACAAAGCAGACTGTTTTTTTTTTTGCTGCACTGGGGTAGAACTCAGGGGTGCTCTACCACTGAGCTACATCCGTACCCCTTTTTAACTTTTATTTTGAAACAGGGTCTCACTAAATTGCTAAGGCTAGCCTCTCGAACTTGTAAACCTCCTGCCTCTGCATCTGGAGTTGGATTATAGGCATGCTCTATCATGCCCGGCCAATATATACCTTTTTTAATGTGCAGAAAAGGAAATGAAAACTGAAAACATTTCTGACAACCTTACTATTTTTTTTTACTCTTTTCTAATGAACAAGTTTTATATGAAAAGTTATTCTAAATGTAATTGAGCATGATAATTTCTCTTTCTTGATTAGTATAGACTACAGTGGTATAAATAAATATAATTTATTTTTCTAATACTGCTAATAGTTTAGATCTTGAATGTTATCCAGAGGCCCAATGTTAAAGGCTTGGTTCCCAGGGAGGCACTACTGGAAAATGATGGAACCCTTGAGAGGTGGGGCCTAGTGGGAAGTCCTTAGGTCACTGGGGTGTGTACCCTTTAAGCAGATAGTAGGATCTCAGCCTCTCCCTCTTCCTGTTTGATCCCTGGCTTATGCTGTCAGCCATTTTGCTATATCATGTACTCCCACCATGATGTGCACCCTTGCCACAGGCCCAAAATAAAAGGGCTAACCACTCATGGATTCAACCTTCAAAATTGTGAGCCAAAATAAAACTTTGCTCTCTGTAAGTGAATTATCTCTGGTATTTTGTTATAGTTGTGGAAATCTAATACACACAAATGTCTTTTTGTCATCCTTTTGATTTTCTGAAGAAAGCAATCATGGCCATTTTGTTTTTCAAGGAAAGAAAATTCTACTTGAGAATCTGAAATTCTCATTAAAATATTTGTTGGGAAAAAAAAAAAAAACAAACTTTTCTTTGGTGCAAATTGACCTCAATTAACATGTGACTGACTGTCCTGTTTCTTGCAGCCTCACTGTTAGAAACCAAGAAGACCAGAGACTCACAAGAGCTTCCCATGAGCTCAGAACAGAACTTCCAACCTGCGAAGAAAGGTAGAATCTCACATTTTTTTACTCACTAAACTCAGAAATACCAACCTTTTTCTTTTTCTTTTTGATCAAACAGAATACACACAATTTCTCTAACAATTTATTAACACCAAATCTCAAAGTGACATATTTTTTCCCAGAAGAACTCCTTTAAATTTACTGTGCCAATCACAAAAATAAAGGTATGCTTCTATACAAACTTTAAGGATGCAACTTTATTTTTATAAAATAAAAGACCATAACAAAACAACATACTTGATTTTCAGAAGAGTCAGTCTATTTTTTCTTAATTATAAATTTATAGTAAATGGCCAAATAACTTTTAAAATTTAAGTATTTTGAAAATTGAAAAAATAATACACATCAACTRTTACCAAATTTATTTTTTTCTTTCTATATTATAAATTGATTTCCTTTCCCCATAATTATTTTTATACTTAAGTCTTAATCTTATGCCTTTATAATTACAGACATTAGGCAAATATTCTAAAAAGCATTGTTCAAATAGGTTTTATATTAAATTGCTTATTTTTGAGGGGGTAAAACCTTAGTAGTAGTTACTATTTTTTTCATTCTTTATCTTATTTGTTCTGTCCCAGAATTTTCAAAGTCTGGGAGACAATCTTAAGATCTTCCACAAAGTATGAGTCTGTTAAAAACAGCTGATGTCCTAGATCTCAGTGTATTGTGTTCCATGCCAAGCTTTGGGAACATTCACATCTGGAATAGGAATGCCTGCATCTGGTTCTGGCTCTGACTGTCCTGCCTGTGTGACCTTGGCACTTGACTTAAAAGCTACTATTTTTTTTTTCTTTTTTGGTGCTAGGGATCGAACCTACGGCCATTTTACTACTGAGCTACATCCTAGCACTTTTTATTTTTTGAGACAGCGTCTTGCTAAGTTGCTTAAGGCCTCATCAATTTGCTGAGGCTGGTTTTGAAGTGCAATCCTCCTGTCATATCATATTACAGGTGTGTGCCACTGTTTCCAACTTAGAAGCCACATTCTGCCTCGGTTTCCTTATATGTGTAATGGGGATAATAATGTTTTTTTTTTTTTTTTTTTGTAGCTAAGCCAATAAAGGGTTCTTGTGAATGTTGAATAAAACAAGAACAGAGCCTGGCAAGAAACGAGCACTCAGTGCACATTGGCTTTCCTTTATTCATAGCCAGTGAATAACATAAAGTGGCTCCTTGTCCATTTAATACCTTTTGCTTCTAGTTCCACTTAGACATTAGTATTATACTTACTTGCCTTTGCCCCACATATCTTGCCTATTGACTTGTTTTTAGCTTTTTGGTAAAAATAACATTATATCAAATTTGGCTTTTTTGGCCCAGTTTGCTTTTAGGGATTTGAATCCAATATCACGGTCAATTATTTTGATCTTTACTAATATGTTTAGTCTTTCAGCCCGTTCTGTGGTTGGCTTCTTGTGAAACCTCCTCATTGGTTCCTTTATTTTTTCTCCTTTTGCTATTTGAACTGCATTTTCTTTGCTTTTAAGTTCTTCATTGGTGGTGGGGGGAGGCTAAATAAGAATGAAGAAACTTTGGATTGTGCAGAGGGAAATAAGGAGAGGGGAGGGGCTGTGGGGATGGGAAGGACAGTGGAAGGAGACTGATACTATTGCTATATTATACATGTATGATTAGTACTGTTATGACTCACCATGTACAGCCAGAGGAATGAGAAGTTGTGCTCCATTTGTATACAGTGGGTCAAAATCTATTCTACTGTCATGTATAACTAATTAGAACAAATTAAAAAATTAAAAATAAATAAATAAAATTATGAGGAAAAACAGTTCTTCACTAGTATGGGACATATAATGGTCTCTCGTTCTTTAAAACAATTCTACTATAAACTATATTTAACTTTTTCAAAATCATGTATTTCTTAAATTGACAAAAGAAAGATGTCTTGAATTCATATGCTTAAGGAACATAAGTAGCATACTTTAAACTTCTATAATGTAATAATTCTTCATAAAAATAATCCAGAATTTGTGTGTAGTTTACTTAGTTAAAACTGTTATTTTAAAATTATGTCTTTTCTTTCAAAAGAAAACTTTTCCAGAGGTATTATCATTATTGTTCTTCATATATCTAGTACTTTTTCATTTTGAAGAATTCATATGACTGTCATAAAAACAAAGTCCAAACAATAAGATTTTTACCAGGTACAGTGGCATATGCCTATATTCCAGTGACCCAAGAGGTGGAGGTAGAAATATTACAAATTAGAGGCCAGCCTGGGCAATTTAGTGAGACGTGTTCTCAAAATGAAACATTTTTTTTTTTAAGGATTAATGATGTAGCTCAATAGTAGAGCGCCCCTGAGTTCAATCTCCAGTATCATAAAAGAAAAAAAAAAGTTTTACAATAAAACATCAAATTTGTTTGGGGGTATAGCTCAGCAGTAGAGCACTTATCTAGTCTGTGGGAGGTTCAATTCCCAGTGACTAAATAAAGAAAGAAAGAAAGAAAAAGAAAATAGCTCACATCTGGGTGCAATGGTGCCACACAGGTGATCCAAGCAACTTGGGAGGCTAAGGCAGAAGAATTCCAAATTCAAAGCCAGCCTCAGCAACTTAGTGAGACCCTGTCTCAAAATAAGAAAGAAAAAAGACTAGGGATATGGCTCAGTGGTGAAGCTCTCCTGGGTTCAATCCTTGGTACCCCCCGCCCCCGCCATATAGCAGTTTCCTCCAGGATGGAGTGGGGAAAATAAGCACTCAGGGTAACAAATGTAACTTTTTGAACAATATTTCAATTCTTAAGGTAAATGGTGACATTCCTTCCTTCCTTCCTTACATTTATATATACATATATATACACATATTTTTTCTTCTTCTTCTTCTGGTACTAGGAATTGAACCCAGGGCACTTTACCACTGAGTTATATCCCCTGCCATTTTTTTTTTTAGTTTTTTTATTTTGAGACAGAGTCTCACTAAATTATCCAGGTTGGCCTAGGGCTTGTGATCCACCTGTTTCTATCTCCAGTGTTGCTGGGATCATAGGTGTGTCCCTCTGTACCTAGCTGTTTCGCATATATTCTATTTTCTTTCTCACATATTACATAAAAAAACCCAAAACACTATGAAGTAGAYACTGCCCCATTGTTGTTCTGAAGATTAAGACTTAGTTCTCTTATAGAAGATAAGGAAGTTTGGGGTCAGGTGGTGATAGATTTTTCTTTGCTTCTATAATTTAAAAACATTACCAGCTGTAAACAAATATAGTCTTAGTAGTTATTCTAGCAACTTGGTTTACAAGCACTTTGGCAGCAGCCATGCAATCCAGCTAGACATTATCAAAGCATTGTACTCGTGTTTTTGCCAAAGGCTTAAGGAAGTGAGAACATCATTTCCCCTTCCTGAAAGTGCCAAAATTTACACACTTTCCATCATCAGAGAGGGAAAGAGGTTTCCAGTGATGAAATTTGAACTTACTACCAATAACAGCTCCCTTTCCACCTTTCTTTTGGCTTCCTCTAAGCCCAACTCCTACTCTGGAAGAAGTCAATGCCTGGGCTCAGTCATTCGACAACTTAATGGTCACTCCAGCAGGAAGAAATGCTTTCCGTGAATTTCTCCGAACAGAATTCAGTGAAGAAAATATGCTTTTCTGGATGGCTTGTGAGGAACTGAAAAAGGAAGCTAATAAAAACATTATCGAAGAGAAAGCAAGGATAATATATGAAGACTACATTTCTATTCTTTCTCCTAAAGAGGTTTGTACCCACAGAAAGGTCTTCTCGAAAGAGCCCTTGGTAAAATAAACCCCTTCCATATTGGGTCATGTTCGGTCATGCTCACCTTTGCACCGGATGGCTACTCCAATACACAGAAAACTACTCTGCCTCTGTTCATAGCATTTAAGTCCATTTGACTATGGTCCCACAGATGGGTGCCAAGTGCTCCCTGAAATCTGTGAAATATTTTGTGGTGAGTGTGTTTCAAGCTTAGGAGACATGTGGAAAACAAGGGAGAGAATTGTCTCTCCACTGGGTGGTTGGTGAAGTCCTGTCTTGTAGGGAATGATGTTTAAACCAAGATCTGAAGGATAAGTGGTCTTCATTGGATAGGGAGAAGGGTTATCCCAGACAGAAGGAACAAAAACAAGATAATTCTAGCTCCTTCCTTCTTTAAATCCCAAGTGGTTCAGAACAGATTTTGAAGAAAATAGTGAAATGGAGCTGGGAATTAGTGGAAGCATAGCATCATGGTCCTCAGAAGCTTAACCTTGGAAATGGTAACATTTGAACCTGGTCTTGAGCACACCAACAAGCCAGTGCACGGTAGAAAGCTGGAGTGTCAGGATGGAAGTTGCACTTCAGAAACAGCTTCTTGGTCAAACCACTGGGCGTGGYTTGGAGAAGCACTGCATTAGCACCAGGTGACCATTCAGGAGGCTGCTACAGAAATCCAGCAGCAAATAGTGAATGACCTTCACAAGGGTTATGTCAGAGAGAGAAGAGGTAGACAGATTTGAGTGTTAAAGAAGTAGGGGGCTGGGGATGTGGCTCAGTGGTAGAACACAGGCCTAGCATGTAGGTGACGCTGGGTTTGATCCTCAGCACCACATATAAATAAATAAAATAAAGGTATTGTGTTCAACTATAACTAAAAAAAATTTAAAAAAAAGAAGTAGGATCAGCAGGACTTTGTGACTGACACAGAGCCGGGAGGGAACTTGAAAGATAATCAGGACTCTGAATTGGTTTGGGGGCAGTTCCATTCCCTCACTAGCCACACAAGGAGATCTAGAAGCTTTGGGAGTTGGCATTGAACATGTGGGGTTTGAGGTACCACTGGGGGTAGGCAAGAGGTGCTTACTAGGAGAAAGACGGTCATGTGCATATGGAAAGATGGGTCACTGGAGTCAAAACTGAAATGCACAGTTTAGCTAATCACATTTTCAATTTTATACTAATCACATACATTAATAAATATACGTTGCTAGTGCAGAGATGATCCAGCTGAGGTTCTTTCCTTAGAAGATATGGGAGTTAACTGTCACAAATTTTGGCTTAAGCTCTTATTTTTGTGGTGTCCTATAGGAAGTCTGAACCCAGTGGTTTGCCCTGGTCTAGGACACAGTCTTGTCCAGCATGAGCAAAACATTATAGCATAATAGCTATCCTCTCCCAGAGGCTTAGTGGATTCCAAGCACTTTAAGTAAATTCTCATTAAATCCTCAGCAAAAATCTAGAAACTACCATCATCATTTCACTGAATGAGGAACTTAATATGGACACAATGGAGTTCACCTTGCCCAAGGCCCCACAATTCATCAGTGAAACCCCAAGCATAATTGGCCCTTAGGCCTTGTGATTTTAGCACGCGCCTAATAATTGTTCCCAGAAATCTGTGATAGTGTTTTAGCTGGGGAAAAGGCTAAAGCATGCAGATGTTAGCCTTCATGTTATGGGAAATTAGCAAGGGCTACGTCTGTGCTTGCTACCTYTCCTACTACTTCCACAAAGGACACTGTACTCTCACTTACAATGTGAAGTAATACAATGTTGTGGTTTTTGAAAGCAGTATGATCCCCTCCAGCATTAGAGCTTATGAGAAATAAAAAGTTCTGGCTCTTACCCAGTTCTACTGAGTCAGAAACCCTGGGGGTGGCACCCAGCAAACTACTTAATAAGCCCTCTAGGGGCTGCTAATGTTGCTGAAAAGTTAAAAACTCTCCTTCTTTGGGCTTTTAGGTTTTCTTTCAGCAGTTTGGATTTTTAGATGACTTTGTTTGGTTTGAAAGGGGCTTGGGGTTTTATTTTTCTCTGCAGGGGATTGGACCCAAGGGYAACTCTACCATTATGCTAGATYCCCAGCCCTTTTTATTTTGAGACAGGGTCTCACTAAGTTGCCCGGGCTAGCCTTGAACTTTCAATCCTCCTGCTTCAGCCTAATGAGTCTCTGGGATTACAGACATGTGCCACCACACCTGACTGGTTTGGGACTTTCAAAAGACAAAATGAGCTATGTGAATTGGGGGCAGATTTATAAAGAAATGTATCTAATACAAATGTTATTTGTTTCTATTGACAGGTCAGCTTGGACTCTCGAGTAAGAGAAGTAATCAACAGAAATATGGTAGAGCCATCCCAACATATATTTGATGATGCTCAACTTCAGATTTACACCCTAATGCACAGAGACTCTTATCCTCGATTCATGAACTCTACTGTCTATAAGGATTTGCTTCAGTCCTTATCTGAGAAAACAGCTGAAGCATAGGAATTTTCAAATATATTTATTATAAAAAAATAAAGAAGTTCTGGACTACATCTAGCACAGGGAAGTAAGAGGTAGTAATGTCTTCAGCTGGGGTAATACTTGGGCTCATTTAATAACAGCTGCTTCTTCCCTCTGGCAGATGGTTATATTCACAATGTAAAGTACAGCCACCTTTAGAGATACTTTTGAGGAAAAAAATGGAATATGGCTGTTTTAGAAAGATAGTATATTTACATTTACAATAACAGCAGCATGTTCCCAGTGGCAAAGGATTTGCTAAAAGATGCCATACTTCCTGGAGCATGTACATCCATCCATAGGAGCAAATTTTTGTTTTGCATGAGTTCAGTAGTAACCGATTACCCACAAAAGACATTCCAGTTGTTACTCAGATACCCTTTCCTTCCATCAAGCTTGGTCTGAATACTTCACTTACCAGTACCGTGATAGACCCAAATTCACATTTTATAAAGATGTAACCACTACCTGTAAAACTGATAATCCATTTTATATCTTAGAGTATGTATGTATGTGGATACATATATGTGCATGTGTATCTATACATGAGTAATGTCAAAGCACTGTGCTTTTAAYTGGATGAGTCCCAAATGTTTGGTAAAAGAAGCCGTGCTTAGAAAGTTCTTCTGTTGAAAAGAGTTACCATTATTTTAGTATCATAATTTGCCAACCTAAAGAAATTCACAACTTGGTCATGTTCACAATGAAACCTTCAAGTAAATCTATTTCCATTTTTATTATTGAAAGAAATATGGGGCATTTTTACTCTAAAAAAATAAAGCACAAGAGTTTTATCTCAGTCTTTACTTTTTCATATATAAATATTTGGGATACATGCAACATATCTTTTAGCTCCCATATCTTTTAGTATTCTGTCTTTATATTCCCACTATTTTTATCACAAATGGAATAACTTCAAAGCTTTAGGCAAATATATAGTTTGTAGCTCAACCATCCTGAAGAACCCCATGTCTACAGGAGTGGGCAAGACACAAAATCTAGACTGGTTTTAGTAGTGGGTTTGAAATTGATTTGCAAGTGGCCCACACCATGCTTTAGCCCACACACGAGGTAGTTCTCCTGTTAATCTCCCTACCCAGCCCTTCAAACAGCCTGTCTTCACTATTCAAATTCAAGTCCCAAGCCTAAGCCCCTGTCCCTCATTTCTCAGTAAACCATCTCACCTCCTACTCTACTATGAAAATTGTGTCTCTAATCCTCCACTTCCTGTGTAACCTACCAAATATGTACAAATCAGCATCTATTCTTGCCTCCTTCAGTCTCATTTCAGAAAACGTGTTCTTACTTCCTTTAAAAAATGTCAGTCCTAACCAGACATGGTGGCACACACCTGTAATCCCAACGGCACGGGAGGTTGAGGCAGGGAGAAAGTGAGTTCAAAGCCAGCCTCAGCAAAAAGCAAGGCACTACACAACTCAGTGAGACCCTGTCTCTAAGTAAAATACAAAATAAGGCTGGGGATGTGGCTCAGTGGTCAAGTGCCCGAGTTCAATCCCTGGTTCCCCCCTACAAAAAAAAAAAGTGTCAATCCCTTGCACATGTTTTTGCTTCTGTATCTTCTCATCTCGTTTTTCACTAAGCAGAGTGTATCACTGTAATTAAGAAATAAACCCTGTCCTCTAGTAGTTTATATCAGACAAGGAAACAGATTGTCAATGGCAACTGCAATGTGATATAGTTACGTACAGTAACGGGACAAACAGCTATATAAGTACTGCAGGGTTATAGAAAAATTTTGCAGAGGTGGTACCAAAGCTAAAACAGCAACAATGTGTATGTGCTAGTGGGGAAGGAGGTGAGGTTCCTGGTAGAAGGGAAGGTCTTCATAAATGAAGTGACCTCAACTAAGCCCAGTTATGGATATGGTGAGTATGAGGTAACTGTAAGACATAAAAAGACATTAAGAAATCAGCTGGGTGGAGGTAACTGGGTAGTCGAGATTCAGGGCTGGAGTATTGACTTGGGATTTCTCAGCATGTAAACAAATAAGATTTTCTGGAGAGGCATAGCAAGAACAAAGCTAAGGATAAATCCTAGCAAGGATGGATGGAGAAATGAGAATCCCAAAGGAGACTTAGAAGGATTCACCTCAATACAAGTAAGAAGGAAGTCAGGGACATGTAAAGCTGTGGCACTTGAATGAGACATGTTTCAAGCAGAAGCTTCCATAAACTCCACTCTCATATTACTTATGGGGGTCCTATCTGTTATATTAGGAGGCTGAGGGGGCAGTGAATAGCGGGGAACACTCCTAAAGCAACCACCCATTAGCTTTCTCACTATTATGTCCTCACCTTCACCTTGGCCTTTCCCCACACTGTAAGCATGCTCCATTTCTCAGCCAAGGACAAGCCTGCATTCTGTTTTAATTGTTGAGTCTCCTCCTTTTTCAGACTTTTCACCACTTGCTGCCTCCACCTCGTGCTAATCATGCTCAAACCAACTACCTACTCTAAAGATGGCTCTACCTACAAGTTTAAACCCCAACCCCACTATTTTCCTTTATATCAAGGGCCTCATCTCAATGAGTGCTCAGGTTCTTGACATCATGGACAATTCATGGCTGGAAACACTCCTTCCCTATCTTCTCAGGCTCTCTTCTACTTCTCCATATTCGGTCATTTTTATTTCTTTCCTCTCCAGGCAGGAGAGCAGGGCAGCTACAGGTTTGGGTCTGGAGCCAGACTTTCTGACTCCACCATCCACTGTTGTGTGGTAATGGCTATACTTAGCCTTCCTGAGCCTGTTTCCTCATTAATAAAAATGATGATAATAATTGGACCTGGTACTAAGCATTGCTATGAAGATTAAAACTAATGCATATTGGGCTGAGGTTGTGGCTCAGTGGTAGAGCACTTGCCTAGCATATATGAGGCACTGGGTTCAATTCTTAGTACCACATATAAATAAAATAAATAAATGTCCATTGACAATTAAAAAAAATTTAAAACTAATGCATGTAAAATCCAGTATCAATGTTATTATTTCTTGCCCATTAAATGTGATGGCCCCTAAAGTCTGGACTTTAGCTTACTTTTCTTACTAATCTATATGCTCTCCCTTGGTTCTCATATCCCCTTCTCATTGTTTAAAATACTACCCAGTATACTAATGGCTATCAAATCAGAATCTGGACTGTGCTTCCTATGGCTGCTGGCTTGACAGCTCCACTGGTATATCCCTCAGATGAATGAAACTCAGCCTGCCTTAACTTTGACTCATCTCCCCTTTGGCTCTCCACCCTCCAGCCTCCTGGCCCCTGCCTGTAATCCAGTCACCCAGCCAGTCGCCCAAGCTATTATCTGGGTGTTAACTTTGATTCTTCCCTGCCTTTCTCCTACCAAATGCACTAAGACTTATCATGTACCTCAACATTTTTTGATATCTTATTCTTTCTTCTGACCCCATCAGATCTTACCTGCATCATTGCCAAAAGAGCCTAACTAGTCTGCCTCTTGCACCCCCACCTCAGCCCATTCAAATTCATCTGTCAAATTGTTATCAGGTCATCTTTCTCACATACAAATCTGCTTGCCACTCTCTCACTCTTTAAAAATTTTCAGTACAAATTGCCTACAGTACAAATATGGAGTTACTGGTCTGGCATATGAGCTGAGAGATTACTAACCCTCCCCTCTCCCCAGCCCCAAGCCAGCCCCTCAAGGGTTAGACTCTAACATCAGCCCTTCACAACTGTTTGTGAGAACTTGGTTCATACTTTCTACTGCCTCTTGCCTGGTCACTCTAAAACACCATGCTTCACCCAGTTAACTCTAATTGTTCCTTTAAGATTTACTTCACATTACCTCTTCCAGAAGCCTTCCTTACCTGATCACCTAAGTCATACTCAACATGCTACGTTGAGGGCCATTCTTTAGTGTTCCAGGAATGTTTTATACAAATGAAATCACTACAAATCATGCTGACGTGTCTTTTCCACTAGATGGTAAGCTTCTAGGGCACTGAAAATAATTTTACCCATCATTTTAGCTTTAATATCAGCTTACAGCAGTATTCATAAAGGTTTATAGAACTATAGAATTTCCCACAAAATAAAAACTACATTCCCAAAATTGTTTCACAATGTATTATAAAAGATACCATTACCACCTACGCAACTACAGAACTCACTACTACTATTACTACTACTACTACTACTACTACTACTACTACTACTACTACTATGGACCAATTCAGTGGGTAAACCCCACTGTATATGAATGTCCCAAACTACCCCACAAATTCAATTCAATTCCAAGTTTTTGCTTCTAAGTAAAATTTAATAGGTGATTTTGCTGTATTTGGAAAAACATATAAACAAATAGAAATTCCAAATGGCTTACATATCTAACAGCTTTTAAAATAAAAATACATTAAGCCTGGGGCAATGGTGCATGCCTGTAATCCCAGTGGCTCGGGAGGCTCAGGCAGGAGGACTGTAAGTTCAAAGCCAGCATCAGCAACTTAGTGAGGTGCTAAGAAACTCACTGAGACCCTGTCTCTAAATAAAAATACAAAACAGGGCTGGGGATGTGGCTCAGTGGTTGAGTGCTCCTGAGTTCAGTCCCTGGTACCCCGCCCCCCAGAAAAAAAGAAAAGCACATTAAGACTATTGGAAGACAATATAGACAATATTTTTATAACCTCAGATGAAAAATATTTTCCTAAGCAAACATAAAATGTAGAATACAGAAAATACTGGTAGATTTGATTATATAAAAAAGTTAAAATGTAAACCTCACTCTATAACAATCTAAAAATTACTATGGAGAATTTATTAGTGTGCCTACAACTTAAGATATAACTCTGTAGACAAAAAAGAAAAGGCATAATAAAAGATAATTAATAGTTGGGCATGGCTGCACAAACTTGTAATCCCAGTGACTCGGGAAGCTGAAGCAGGAGAATCCCAAGTTCAAGGCCAGCCTCAGTATCTTAGTAAGACCCTGTCTCGAAATAGA